GATAGCCATCATAGGTGTATGTACGACCAAATGACACACCACCCAGCTGTGCACCATTGTCACAATCATTGCTGTGTTTGAGCCTCATGTTGTAGGCAACGTGTCAGTCCATGTCAGTGAAGAGCTTCCTCGTTTTCAATCCTTTACCAAGCAGCATGTTCTCCTAGGACATCTAGTCCCTCCTGAAAACATGCCCCAAATATATGAGACCACGTTTCACTGTGCTTGCTTCTAAGGAGCTTTCTGACTATTCTTCTAAGACAAATTTATTTGTTCTTTTGACAGTCCGTAGTATATACAGCATTCGTTGCCAACACCATAATTAAAATGCCTTCCTTATTCAGTCTTCCTTATTATTAATTATCTAGCTTTAAGATAATGTGATGAAAAATATCCTCCTTTGAGGGTCAGGCACACCCTAGTCCTCAAAGTGACATCTTTTGTCTTTCACACTTTAGGGAGGACTTTTATAATCATTGAATTCTCACTACAACCCTCCAAAGGGAATATTTTTATTACTATTTTACAAGGGAGGTCTTTGGGTCCTAGGGAGGTCAAGAATTGGTTCAGTGCCCCACAGTCTCAGAATTTTGAACTCAGTCTGATCCCCAGCCCTTGCTCTTTAAGTCCTATATCAGTTGTTTACAGATAGAGACAGTTTTGTCCCTCAGAGAACAGTCAGTGTTGTCTGTGACATCCAAGTGGGTGGAGGCTGGGTCATCTGGCCTAGTGTCAGTAATAAGATGGAGAAACCCTGCTAGATGGTCTGCTTCTCAGAAAAGTATGTTTAGATGGAGTTTACCTTTTAACCTTAACCTTTAAATAGACCCACTACCAGCCTACTAAAATCATTATTAAGTAAGATTTTTATTTAATAGGCTGTAAGTAGTGTGCAATGTGATGAAACAATTCAAAGAATTCAACTACTGAGAACAGAGAACTTGATAAGCATTCTTTTGTAACCCAACCTCATGGGAAAGCTACCAAAAAGGAACAGTTTTATAAAAGGCAGTCTGGGGCTGCATTGTATCACAAAAGCCAATTGCCAGCCTTGATTTGGTTCTTTCTTTGAATGATATACATTTATATTTGTGTCCAAGTTTACAGAGCTGATTGCTGTTTTACTCTGCCATCAGTACTGCACATTCTTTGGTTACATTGATTACAATGCTCACATTGTAACATTACTCTTCCCACCATTGCTCTGTGATTCCTGCCTCCCTTTTCCCCTCCATCCTCTCTACCTTCTGAGCTTTTTCTGCACATGTCTGCTGCTGTTGTGATCCTTTGTGGTTAAGTGTTCTCAGAGCTGAGCTATCTCCCTGCTGTCAGTTGTTCACTTTGTAGATCAGTCTGTTGTTTGGCTGCCAATTTGTGCCACAGGTGAGCTGAGCTCCAGGCATAAAGGGGTACAGTCTCGGGGCATCCACCTGACTCCATCAAGCCAGTAAGGATGGCCACTATTATGATTGTAAGGCTTTTCTCTACATATATCTCTTCCCTTATCCAAATCCTTCTTTTGTGATCCCTTTCAGAGCAGTTCATGGTAGCTAGGCACCATCCATTTCTTCTGGTCTCCAGGTCATGGAAGTTGAGACTAGTCAGGTCTATTGGTATGGTGTACTCAATTTTTCCATGCATATTTGACTTTTTCTTCATTCTTCTTTGTTCCAGACAGGGAGAGACTAATTGTTGCATGAGAAAGGTTCATTCTTAGGTGGCTGCTTGTAAGCTTTTAAGTCTTCATATGCTCCTCACCAATGAAGTGTGTAAGACATTTTTCTTGTAGACTATGCTATGCCATTTGAGGTGAGACTATATTCCTGAGTCAGATTTAGTTCTGATGGCCATTCAGGGGACACATTCTTGATGGTATAAACTAGTATGTTATTGAAAATAGTGGGAAGAAGCACCTGTCAGAGCCATTCCCCAATACAACTTTTGCTCATGTAATTAGATTGATATCTTGTATTTTAAAATATGAACATCTCATAATTTAAGTGGTTAATACTATGCAAATACGAATTGCAATTGAAAATGAAAACAAATCCACAAAAACCAAAATATAACCATGAATCTATCTCATCTGAATTTAAAAACCATCTCATGAATAGGTTTGATGTGTTAAACACATCAATGATTATAAAATGCTCAAAGTCCAGATGAGTTTTGGGATGACCTTGATGTCATCCATGAAGAAAGCAAAAAGTCATTACAAAGACATGAGAAGACCAAAATGAATGTGAAAAGAGACTCTGAAAATCACACTAGAATATAGAGAAGCCAAAACAAAAGGAAGAAATACTGAAGTAAAAGAGATGTATACAAGATTTCCAAGGGAATCTGGAAAAGACAAAACAAAGTATTTTAGGAGCAGTCAGTATGTCCCTTTCCTCTCATGGAAGACCTTTCAGCAGATTCAGCATTTAAATTTTTTAAAATTTATTTTTATTGTGCAGTGGTGTCTCTCTGGAGACTAAGGTGCGTCTGATACAGGCCATGGTCTTCACAATCACTTGTTATGCATCAGAGAGCTGGACAGTGACCAAGGAGGATAGAAGGAGAATTGATGCCTTTGAGCTGTGGTGCTGGAGAAGAGTATTGTGAATACCATGGACTGCTAGGAAAACAAACAGATTTGTCCTGAAGAGGGTTAAACTGGGTGGCTTCTTGGAGGCAAGGATTCTGAGGCTCCGTCTAACATACTTTGGACATGTTGTGAGGAGAGACCGGTCCTTGGAGAAGGACATCATGCTTGGGAGGGTGGAGGGACAGCGCAGAAGGGGAAGGCCCTCTATGAGGTGGATTAATTCAGTGATTGGGATAATCAGGATGGGTGTGTCAGAGACAGTGTGATTGGCACAGGACAGAGCAGAGTTTAGGGCTGTTTTACATAGGGTCACTATGAGTCGCAAGCGACTCGACGGCACATAACAACAACAACAACAACATTTTTATTGTGATAATTTGTAATTCCAACAATCTTCATGAATAGTTTAGCGAGACATTTAATTATCTCATTGATGTTGCTACTGTTACGTGCTTTTGAGTCTACCGTGACTCATAATGACTAAATGAACAGTAGTTCTGAACTCTCAACCCTATCCTGAGCCAATCTCACTGACTCTGACGCACCTGCTCCCATTGCCACAGTCATTGTGTTAATCCATCTCATCTGAGATCTTCCTCCCCTCTGCTGTTCCTCCACCTTCCCAAGCATGATGTCCTTCTCCAAGGACTGGTCCTTTCTGGCAACATGCCCAAAGTATGTGGGACAGAGCTTCAAAAGCATTACCTTCAAGAAGCAACCTGTTTTCACCCTCTTTAGGACAGAACTGTGTGTTCTCTTGGTGGTCCATGGTATGTTTCAGACTCTTCTTCGTCACCACAACTCAAAGGCATTGATTCTTCTCCTATCATCCTTAGTCATTGTTCAGCTCTGTGATGTGTACCAAGTAATTGTGAAGTCCATGTATGGTTAGGATCAGGCACACCTTAGTCTCTAGGCTGACGTTGTTACTCTTTAGCACTCTGGAGAGGTCAGGTGATAAAATAATGCATTCTTAAGATACAATGTGAACATATTTGGCCATTGGTTGAATTTGAAATTCAGCCATTTGAACCTAATTGCAAAGATTAATGATGCAAACCTATTCAGAGGCTCTGAGGAAGAAAGACTTGACAGTTGGCTTTAATAAAGATAAACAACTAAGAAAACTTTGTGGAGTTCTCCTCCATGACACATGGAATTATCATGAATTAGGACTGGCTTGTTGGTTAAAATAGGGCCAAATAAAACTCCCTCATTGTTGTCGAGTCAGGATGGACTCATAGCTGACCAGCTGGTTTTTGGAAGCTGTAAATCACTCAGGAGGAGATTGCCCCTTTCTCCCATGGAACCACTGCTGCATTTTTTGGTGCTAGAGAGACACTCCTTTGGTTAGCAGGACGAGTCCCTACAGACACTGCCCGCAGAGCTTCCTCCCTCAGCTTGATTGTGGCTAACAATGAGAATCAGTCATTTATATAGTACATGAATGAGGGGAATTTGTTCCTTTTCACTTCACATTATTTGTTCCCATTATTTACTGTGAAGGAGAGAGCCTTCCCACCTTGATGTGTTCCTAGATGTTTATATGATTAATTCTCCTTGTGTTATTAGGTGTCACTGAGTTGAGTACAATCCATGGTGACCCTATGAACAACATATCTGAGTCCTGCCCTATTCTGTGCCATCCTCACTATCTCTGATACACTTGAGCCCGCTGCTGCAGTCACTATGTCAACCCATTTCATTAGGGGTCTGTCTTTCTTTCACTGACCCTCCTTCTTTCCAAGTATGATGTCCCTTTCCAAGAAATAGCCTCTCCTAGCAACATGTCCAAAGTATGTGAGATGATGCTTTATCGAAGGAGCCCTCTCCAAGACATACCTGTTTGTTCTTTTGACAGTACATGTGTTGTCTTCTCCAACACTAGTGCTAAAAGGCATCAGTTCATTTTCCATCATCCTTATTCATTGTCCAGCTCTCAGATGCATAGCAAATGATTGAAAAGACCATGGCCTGAATCAGGTGCACCTTAGTCTCATGGACTTTTACAAGTCCTTGCTTTGAACTTGGTGCCTTTTTTGTCCATGTTCTCTTCATCTCTTTGTTTTATTTTTACTTCTTAGATTTTCTTAGCTGATGCCAAGAGTCTTTGTGTTATCTGAGAATAATAAGAGGTTCAGATGAACCCCAGCATTTTTGCTTAATTATTGGACATATCTCAAGCCTTAATGCTCATGATTGAAGATAAAATCAGATGATTGCTGATGAAAGCTTGTTTACACACCAAATGGTTATAATTTCTGCATGAACTCTCCTATTAACTAATATGCATATGCATAGCTGTGCATAGGAAACAAGTGCATTAGGACTTTGCACAAGTTGGGAAGGGGGAACTGCCGTGTAATGCATGTTGTGTTGAACTACAGTATGTGCCTTCTCTGTTATCCAGGTGCTTGGGAAGAATGGAAGGTCGACTTGCTGATGCCAAGTGTGAGAGTATGGGTCCAGTAATGGCTCTAAGAGGCTATTTTGTGTTCCTTTTCTAGCTGGCCTGCTGCTGTGGCTCTGCTGGGTGCTCGCTGTGCTGTGGCTGCTGCCCCAAGATCCGACAGTCCCGGAGTACCCGCTTCATGTACGCACTATATTTCATCCTCGTGGTCATCTTGTGCTGCATCATGATGTCAGAAACTGTGGCCAGAGAAGTCAAAGAGCATGTAAGTTGGCCTGTTTTCACCTCTTCCTATTTCTTGTGTTTGACTTAGATGGTGGGAAATGTTAGCTTTAGAAGTTGGTGCCCACGCACCTCAGGAGTCCCTGGTTGACTAGAAAGTTTGGCTAAATTTTAGACAATCTTAACAGATAGTGGGGAGTGGACTGGATGCTTTTCACCTTTCTGGGCAGATCAGTTATAGAGTGATGTCTGCAATGGTGAGGGATGGGTTTCTGTTTACTTCTTGCATGTTGTTGTTGTTGTTATGTGCTGTCGAGTCGCCTGCGACTCATAGCGACCCTATGTACAACAGCCCTAAACTCCGCTCTGTCCTGTGCCAATCGCACTGTCTCTGACACTCCCATCCCA